GTGTGTGTGTGAGTGTGTGAAATCAGACGGAGACAGTGTCCAAGTGCAAGACAGTGAGCTGGGTAAGGAGAGAGAGAGAGATGCTCAGAGAGGATGAGGAGTAACAGGGCGAGGCAGCAGCGAGAGGCGCTGAGTGTGTGTGTGTGTGTGTGTGTGTGTGTGTGTGTGTGTGCTTGAGGAATAGTGTGTGAACAGAGGGATGCAGTCATATCTCTGTGAGAGGGAGCAGCACAGCAACGGTAACCATGCTGAGCCCCAAGATAAAACAGGCACGCCGGGGTAAGCTCAGTCCCTCCTCCTCTTTCCCCATCCCTCCTCTGCGCTCCGTTTCTTTTCTCTCTTTTAATGCTTCTTTCTGTCCCCTCTGCAGCCCCTCTCTTTATTCCCTCTCTCGCTGTCTCTGCAGACCTCCATCTGTCCTGCTGTATACTGTTATCAGTTCTTTCTTTGATTATGACATCAGAAAGGTGTAACAGCGCTAGGTTAGCACCAAATCTGCACACCGGTGTCATTCTACATCCCAGTGACTATTGTTATCAGCAATGACCTGAGTTTTCTTGCATGATGTGAAGTGCTGAGGCTTTTATCTTCTGTGTCCAGTGCTCATTGAGAGTTAATGGGCTCTACTACAGTGATGTAATCCCTCATGTGTCTTGATTATACTGTCCTCATTCCTCGAAGATTTGATCCTGATGGGGATACTGTGAGTTGTAGTAAACATGGCTGCTGGAAGGATAATCCTCCCTCCAACAACGGTCTGCATCCTGACATGTTCACACCTGAGCACATGACTACACCTCTGTTTATTCAGGGTTTATTGGGTTGGATTTTGGTTGGTATGGTTTTGAGCAGGTGACAGACAGATCAGAGGCGGCGAAAGGAACGTGAGGCTCTCTCCTCCTGTAAATCACAACAGCTGAGTGTCAAACATAGTTCCTCTAACACAGGGTGAAATCCACTTGTGACCGCTGAAGTTGGAACGTCCCATATACATGCCTCTCACATGACTGCGTGAAGATGAATAAGGAAGCTGTAAATCACGGCAACAGCTCCTGGCACAGAGATTATCATGATGCAAAGTATAGACACTTGCTGTGCTCTTCATAGCAGGTGGTTGCTATAGACAACCGACACACACTTTTTCAGGTGGCTAGGGGAGTTGTGACAGTTGCCAGCTTATCTCAAGGAAATGCACTAACACTGGTTTTTAGAGAGTATCCACAGAGGCACCCTGACAGAAGATATATGTCTGTGACGATTCCCAATGTTCTTGAATTAATATTGGATTTTTATATGAAAATGATCATAACAGAGAAAAGTGTTTGCACAGCGGCTTCAAGACCCCTTACTTGTGTGTGTGTGTGTGTGTGTGTGTGTGTGTGTGTGTGTGTATATGTTTAGGCAGGGTTGCTGCCTCATTTCTCCCCTGGCAGTCATTGTCTTACTTGAAACCAGCCGTAAAAAAAAAAAAAAAAAGTAAGACCATAAAAGATGATGGGGAGGAAGAGTGCCTCTCCTTTCTCCTTCACGAACACAGTTGGAGAGTGAAGCAGCCACTTCGGTTTCCTTGCCACGTTTTTTGTGCGCTTGCCATCTCTCATTTGCTGTAATGGTATTCTCCTTTGATTAGATTCCCAGCTCTGCTCTCCTCTGACCCTTTAATGCAGCATCATTCAAGGCAAACTCATACAGCACCACAGAGCTGGATCTGCACTCAGAAGCTTATATAAGGCCAGAATACTAAAAGCAGTTAAGAAGTGTTGAGTCTTACGGGAAAACGATATTGGGGTTTTAGGCTTCTCTCCATTATTTGTGTGGCTGAATAATTGTCATTATAAGGACATGTGAAAGAATAATGAAGGGTTTAAGTCAACAAGATATGATTCTTTTGAGACCAGATTTTCATTAAAGAGGCCCTGTCCAAACTGAAGTTTTGATACTGTACCATGCTAATTATAATCATTATTATGGGCTCATTTATATGTTAGTAAAAAATACCATTAATGTGTGTGTGTAGTTGACATTTGTTAATGTCTAATAAATAATATCAATCTAATACATGTATCATTCCAATATTAGTAGAATTATTTAATTCCTGGTGTGAAGTAAGTAGCAGGAGTGACATCCAGATCCACATTCAGAAGTTAGTGAGCAAGTATATTAATTCAAGTAGCATACTGTACTCGTAATGTACGATTTTTGAGGTGCTTTTACTGTATTAGAGTATTATTTCCTGTGGTGCTTGACATTAATTTCAGAGGGAATAAATACTTTGTACTCCATTAAATTTGACAGCTAGGGTTACTTTACAGATTAACATTGTAGAAAACGTGTGCAGAGATATTCATAAAACAATAAATTCTAAATATGGGAGGGAATTTGAATGGTGATTATATACATGATTTTTTATGACTCCAAATGTACTTTCTAAAATTAATACATTGATGAGAGCGGACTGCTGGAGGGAATGTGGTGAGACAAAGGCAAACCAGTTTTAAAATCATTCTGACAGTCGGTCATAATGGATATCATGGGTATTTTTAACAACTCAATAGACATTATTCAAGGAAAACCAACACTAGAGCTGACACAGGAAACGGACCAGTACCTATATAGAATACTTAGAACCGCAGCAATGAACCAAATACCAAGGAACTGGCTAAAACCTTTAAGCCCATCAGTTCTAAGATGGAAAGAAACAACACAGGAGATCTCAGAGATGTGTGAGTGAGAAATGAAGAAGCAGAGACGGTGGTTACGGAGTTGTGGAGTTGTGAGGCCATGAATTAATTTATAAAAATACTACAATTACTACTAATACAATACATTACATTGCAATACATTTAATTAGTACTGTACTTAAGTACAAATTTGAGGCTCTGTACTTGTACTTTGGTTGTGCATATTATTTCATATGATATGAGGCAATACACCTTGAGTAATAATATTCCTGAAAAGATAAGAATTTGATCCTTGTCCAATCATAGTTCTTTGCTGACAGTGGATTAAAAAACAGTTCCTCTCAGAGATTTCCTGCCTCTTTTTTCAAACTGTACAAGACATGGCTCCGTCCGCTGTATTTATAGAGCCTGCTCTGCCGGCTTCTGCTGTCAGCATACAGTTTTGTCAATGATTGCTTCACGTGGTCTCATCTCTAGTCTTATCCCTTCCTAGCAATCATGACTCTGCAAATGAAGGACATCCAGAAAGGGGAGAAATAAAATGTGGAGTCCAGACAGAGAGCTGATAAGCAAGAGGGAGAAAGAGAGAGAGAGGAAACAGGAGAGAGATTTCTGTCCAGGCTCTTGCAGATACCTCCCCTGCTGTCCTCAGCAGAAAGCAAGATGCAATTAACAGGAAAAAAGACGCCATTGATTTCTCTCTCCTCTCCCCTTGCCTTATGTTTATCTCTTTCCTTCTCTCTCTCTCTCTCCCCCTGACTCCCTAGGGATCACTCTACTGTCGCTGTTTTTGCTCTATACCTTCGGCATACCTATGCTAATATATAATCCATGCTTAATCAGTCTGTAGCAGTTAAAGCAGAACCTGATCCAAAGCAAAACTCCTCTCTGTACATCAGTGAAACTCAAAGTAATACATGCCCTCATTAATATCTGAACCACATAATAAAATCTAATGGAAGACACAGGTGGATTTCATCTTAAAGCAGGATGTCTTTGCAGCAAAATGGAGGCCATGCCTTGGTAGATTGACTCAAGAGGAAATCTGGATGCAAGGTCAAGCCTGTGGGCTTAGCTGTGCCCAAAGGAGACTTCAATGAATAATGATTCAGAATCGTAGCAGAACAACAAAGAAAGAAAATCCTGAAATAACATATATCCTCTGTCTTTATGTAACCCTCTATTTCTTCTTCTCTCTGTCTCACTCATTATTCCGATGCTCTTAATCCTGCAAGCTCACTTTATCTCTATGTGTGTGTCCATGCAGCGCGGTCCAAGAGCATGGTGCTTGGAGAGTTGTCTCGGGTTTCCAGGCCCTGCTCTCCTCTGGATCAGGAGAAAGCGCTGAAGGCAGGCTGGCTGAAAAGACAGCGGAGTATCATGAAAAACTGGCAGCTGCGTTGGTTTGTCCTGAGGACTGAAGCTCTGTATTTCTACAAGGACCAGGATGAAACCAAGGCCCAGGTGACACTCACAAAATAACGTATATATATATATATATATATATATACATATACAAGAGAGGCACCTGACGTCACCTGTCACATATATTTGGATTCATTCTGGTTTGAAGCCTGATAGATAGAAATCCCTCGGGGCTGGCCGATCCATTGTGTGTACTCCAACTCTGAAAATGGCTTTTCTTTTTCAAGTAAAATGTAGCTCTTTTCTGCATTATGTGACCATCATTTTTAAAGCTACACGCTCTCATCTTTATATTACTGGTGTCAAACTATGGCCGGATAAATATCCATTCATTTTTCACGCAAAAATCATTAAGACATTAAGACTTCCCCACACTCTCCATTACAGCTGCAGTGTGTTGTTATTGCCCTGACACACACACCGATAATGTGGTAACTAGCTGCCCTGTGGTTCTGCTGTAAGCACTTAGTATGTGACCTTTGACCTTCTCTATGCTGGATGGATCAGAAATGCAAGTACATAAGGAAAGACAAGAGAGATAAAGAGATGAAGAGATGTTTCCCTGAGTCATCCCTCCCTCCATCATCATTACCTCCTTCTGTTGGATGACAGCCCAGAGCCCGGTGTACTCAGAACTCTATAATGTTTTAAATGCACTACACGTCCAAGTCCAGATATACTAATTGATTTGTTGTTTGGCCCCTGAATAGCGGTGATATGGGTATTGCCTGTCTGTCTTTCTATCTGTCGGTCTCATGCCTTTCTCTGCTTTCTCCTGCAGGGTTGTATTCCTCTTCAGGGCAGTCAGGTAAATGAGCTGCCTGCCAATCAGGACGAGCCCGGTCGCCACCTTTTTGAAATTGTTCCAGGTGAGTTGGCATGGTGACAACCTCGGATAGTATGTAGAGTATGTGAGTAAGTCTTGTTCAAGGGATATGCTGAACCATCTTAAAGAGATGGTTGCTGAGTGCCAAACAGAAAAACCACTGGGCTCAACCACTAGATTTATTTATTGAATATTTTATGATCAAGCACTTCAGATATAATTTCCTAACCTGACTGTGCCTGATGTTTTGTTACACAGAACCATCTGGGAAGTTATCGTTGAAAACTATTTGGAAAAGGGCACGCACTTTCAAAATATACTATACTATCACTGAACAGGCGAACTTCAACAAATGAGATCAACAAACCATATATTCAAACTCTTACAGAAGAACAAAAACATCTAAAAGACTTCAGTGTCGTTCTTTGCTCTTCTTTCAATAAGGAAATACTCTCCACTTCTGAAATAACTGATTCTAGCTGCATCTAGATCTATCTTCATAAGCAGCCACCATTGTTGTCACTTCTCCCACATGTTGTCACATACACCTAGTGTTAAACCACGCCTGTAGCTCATGCCGTCGCTGCCAGTAGTTGATAAAACTCCAATTTGTGCAGCATCAGTGCACAAACCACAACCACTAGAAAATGAACTTGAAGCCAGGTTTCCTGTCAATTACAGAAATGATCTCTTTGTGTTTCTAGAAATTGTGATCATACTGCACACACAAGTCCTATCCTCTGTGTAAACCTGGTTGACCCAGTATCAAAGTGAGGAAGAGGAACAAAAACCAGAAGTAAATCATATCTTCATATGAGCCAGAGACTATAACACATGCATGAAAAATGTGGACCAGCAGATGGGATGTGACTGCCACAGCCGTGTGTGTGAGCATTAAACAAGGACTTCATTCATTTCTTGTCTTGACAGCGTGGGGTTGGCATGATTACGGTCAGCACAGTGGACAGTATGTGCCGCACATAGATCAGAAAGATCAGAGAGAGAGACAGAGAAAGAAAGAAAGAAAGAAAGAAAGAAAGAAAGAAGTTGGAAGTTGTGCTTAGATAGACATGAAGTCAAGCATTAAAAGATATAACCCTGTACGTAGTTACTGGCTGTGATGGCAGTGCCTCTGTTTGGCTCTCATAGAATGACATCTGGCATCTTTGGTTATATCAGCGTAGATTCACCTGCAAGCATCCATTCTTCTTAAGGGCTGTCACTGCTGAGTCGTAGCCCATTTTTCCCACTGGCGCTACAAGATCAACATGGGCCATTACTGCAGCAGGTTGACTAACACCCTGACACTTTATCCTGAGGATGGGGTTTCTATTAATGATGGTAGTAAGTAAATTTTTCTTAGCTTTGATATTCAAAGAGTAGGATGTATTGGATTGTGTGTGTGTGTGTGTGTGTGTGTGTGTGTGTGTGTGTGTGTTGTGTGTGTGTGTTCCATATGTAGATATGATTTGTCACATTCAGTAAGTCCCTCCGTTTGTGACCTGCATTCACATATTGTACAGCTATGTTTGCTGCATGTCCCTCTCCTAATATAGTCTTTTGTTTTTTTCATCGTCATTTAACTTATAAATCTATGTGTTCTTTTTTTAATATTCAATGGGTAACGGCTCTGCATGCATTGGTTGGTGTTTTCCTCTGTATGTTTATTTTGGACATACAGAATTCTGCATGCAGGGCCTTTTATGGGATGCTTGTCCCATCTAGTGTTGTCCTGATTATTGAGTGGACCCCAAACTTACATGAATGTCAGCAGATTTAACAGCTACTGCAGGGCTGCATTTTGGATCACACAGCATCATTAGCAGGTGTGTTCACATACTGTATTAGACTCTTGTAGTCTTGTAGTTATGTTTTTAAATTGTATTCAGCCTTTCTGTGTTTGTGCACACAAAGGACCACGCTAGTGTTAACACGTGTTTTAACTCACTTACTATTGAGGGCTACAATCCATTTCCATACAAATGAATGGAGACCAATGACTGCTTAAAAAAACACTTAAATCTTAATGATGTGCTTGCAAACTATTTGTTATTTGCAGTCAATGGGCTAAAACATGCAAATACACCAGTGTGGTCTTGTAATTTGTGAGATGGTGTCTAGTGTCACTTTGTGGAGAAAGTTTGTTAGTGAAAAGATGCAGAGGGAAAGGTCCCGGACAAAAAGAGACTGAGTGGGAGGCATGGTGCAGTTGCTGGTGTCCACAGGGAACACTACACTTTCTGGGTCATTTCTCTTACACACAACACACTATGCACCACAGTGCAGGATTTAGTAATGAATGCAGGTACTGATATATAGCCTACACAGCAAGGCATATGCATCTCTGTCTTTTGCATTGGTTTTGTAAGAAGGTTTTCATCAGTACAAAATGTAAGAACATTTTATTTTTAAGAGCAGTTTTGATGCCTTTATCTCCATCTGTAATTGAGTAGTGCTTCTTCTACCTCTTCAAAAAGCAAGCGAAACACATAAGTCACATAAAGGGAGAGAATTTCACATAGTGTAATCAAAGGTAAACAGAAATAAACTAAAATGTCAAACTAAAATGTCAAACCCGGTGATATCAAGCTGGGTCCAGCCAGAGGAAGGACAGGGGGAGCTGCATGGCTGTGTCTTTGTACTTTACAGGGGTCCTGGAGCTAATAAGGTTATTGAAAATACTGATGTTTGTAGTCGGTAGAACCCACTTGTTTACAGATGATGCAGTTAATGTGAAAAGCAAAGTCATCTGCAAAAGCTGTATCGGTTCTGGTGTATGATTCTGCATATTTGAAGTACAGTGGTTTTGGAGATGTGTCAGTCATTTTGTCCTATCGATCCAGAAAGTAATGTAATATGACTGTGTTTTCAGGGGGGGCTGGAGAAAAGGACCGAACAGGTATAAGCCACGAATCATTCCTGCTGATGGCCAACTCTCAGAGTGACATGGAGGAATGGGTCAGAGCCATACGTAGAGTCATATGGGCTCCACTCGGAGGAGGTGCGATTCTTAAACATATGCATACACATACACACAAATGTACATAAAGCACTGTTTGCTGTAATTAAGCAAATAATTATTAATGTTTTAAAGAGGAGAATTTCTTATGAGCAGTTAATGACCTGATTAGTGTTTATTTTCTGTGTCATGTGGCTGCAGGTGTCTTTGGGCAGCACCTAGAGGAGACAATGTTGTATGAGGCCCAATGTGGCCCTCAACGACTGGTCCCTGTGCTGGTTGAACAGTGTGTGTGCTTCATACGTGAACACGGGCTCAAGGAGGAGGGCCTCTTCAGGGCCCCCGGACAGACCAATCATGTTCGAGAGCTGCAGGACGCGTTTGACCGTGGCGAGAAGCCAGTGTTTGACAGGTGACATGCCGGGAAGAAGCATTTTATCGATAGCAGCATGCCAAGCTATAATTTATGCTGGATAGTATTCTTTATGTCTACTCTCTTACAGTACCACAGATATCCACACGGTGGCATCACTGCTAAAGCTGTACATACGGGAGCTGCCGGAGCCTATAATTCCATTCTCCAAATACACACAGTTTCTCTCTTGTGCTCAGCTCCTTACCAAGGATAAAGCTATGGTAATTCAACTTCTGTTTAACATTTTACTTGTATATTTCCAAACTCTTGCCTTGGCAATAAGCATGTCCTTTTTTTAATTAAGGGTATCTTAGAGCTGGGCAAACAGGTGAAATCCCTTCCTCAGGTCAACTACAACCTCCTTAAATACATCTGCAAGTAAGTAAAGAGTCTTGTCGTCTGTTTATCAGCAGTTGTTAAGCTCACTGATGTGACTCTGATTGGTTTTATTGGTGCCATTTCCCATTCACTGTTTGATGATTGAGGATTTGACACCTTGTCATGCAAAAGAAATAACATTCATTACACCCACACACTCGTCATCAGGGGAAGTGACATCACATTGATTGACTCTGAGTGTGTATAATTTCACGTCCTCTCTCCCTGCCTTCTGCATCTATATAAAGATCATCAGCTGAGCCCACACAGCAGCCAGAATCATGACTCAGTCCTCCTTTTTCATAAGTTTGAATTTTACTGATTGAAAAAGAACAAGGGGGGTTTAAGACCTGTCACTACTGATGATTTTACATATTTGGAAATAAGTTCTGCTTGTTGTTGTGTCTGCTCAGGTTTCTGGATGAAGTTCAGTCTCACTCCAATGAGAATAAGATGAGTGTTCAGAATTTGGCCACCGTGTTTGGACCCAATATCCTTCGTCCCAGAGTGGAGGATCCAGTTACCATGATGGAGGGTTCGTGATAATGTCATCATATATATAAATTTCAATAAATATGTACAATGCCATTAAACATTTCAAGCAGGTGTATTACTCATGTGTATGTGTCTTTGTCATTATAAACAGGAAGTTCACAGGTGCAGCACCTGATGACTGTGCTGATAAGTGAACACGCCAGACTTTACCAATTGGAGGAGCCGGAAACCGAGAGCAAGATCCCCTCACAGCAACAGCAGAGTACTCTACAACGGTGCAAAGTGGAGTGGCTCTCACAAGAAGACACTGACCCCCCACCCTCCTCAGGCACAGGCTCAAAAACCCCTAAAGAAAAACCCCAATCTTCTACCCCTTCTACAGACAGCAAGCCGACTGCACCAAGCCCCATTACAACGTCGGAGAAGGGTGAGGATGGTCAGATTGAAGTGAAGGGCAAAAGTAAAGCAGAGGAGAAAGTGGATGGAAGATCAGATAGCAAAACGGAAGGGAAAGGTGGAAGTGAAGTAGCTGTTAGCCCCAGTAAACAGTCTAAAGCTCTGCCCTCCTGGAGGTGCTCTTTCAAGGGTAATGCAGCATCTGGGGGGCCAAGGGGGAAAATAGGGGGGTCAGCAGGAGATGTGTCAGCAGCTGGGGGGAGCAACTGGCTGATGAATGGCCTGTCGTCCCTCCGAGCTCACAGGCGCACCACTTCATCAGGTGAAAGACTTAAAGACTCAACTCTGTCTCTGAAGGATTCGACCCTCTCCCTTAAAGAGACCACTCTTTCACTTAAGGACTCGCAGAGAGACTCTGATGAAGACTCCCCTCAAACATCCCTGTCTCACAGGGCCCTCCACCAATCCCACAGACTGTCCGCCTATGACAATGTTGCCCCATCCAGTCTAAGCCTGCCTGCGGACACCTCCTCCATCTGGACATCCTTTGAGATCTCGTTGGCCGAGCCAGAAAGAAGCGATAAGGCAGTGAAATTAGGGCAGGGTCAAGAGAGATCCACAGAGGTGAGGGACAGTACAAATACTCCAGACCACAGTGCAAGCGGCACTGAGGACGATCTCGCAGGAACAAATGAAGGTCTCACCAACATGCTGACCGAGCTCAAGCAGGAGCTGAAGAAACAGAGGACGAGCTATGAAACCTGCATTCGCAAGTAAGAGTCACTTATAATTTTCTGTCAAACAACCAATCAGCATGATGTGTTATTTATAAGCTCTTTCTCTCTTTTTTGAGGTTGGAGGAGTCCTGCTCCAAGTACCAATCCCAGGTAAACCGCCTTGAGGAGGAGCTGGACCAGGAAAAGAAGAAGTTTCACATGCTAGAGATCCGACTCAGGAACTCGGAGCGGGCACATCAGGACGCAGAGAACCGAAACATTCTCCTCCAGCAAGAGATGGAGGAGTTCTTCAAAACCCTTGGGGATCTGACCACAGGGGCAACACGGACCAACTAGGTCAAACCAACCTGCCTTCATCTGGTCCATCAGAGGAGGAGCTTAATTACTGGGAAGACCAGCCAGCCCCAAAGCTTTGAAGACCAAATACCTCTAGTGCAGTACTACTTGCCATCGTGTCCTCTTTAGTACAGCCGTCCTGTGCCTACACTGACCAGTGCCGGTGCCAAACGAGAACTCCTCTGGACCAAGCACCTCTTATTTTACCATTCCACAAAATTCCTTATAACTTATGGTCCTTATGACCTATTATACACCATAGGCGATGTAGATGATTATTTATTGACTAAAATGCAGAAAAAGCCTTATTTATGAGGTCTTCCCATACGCACCCTGTTCATTTCCCCTTTTAACTCATATTCTTGAAATAAACGTAAACTTGACAGTCAAAGAAACAACAATGTGAGACATTAAAATTCAACTCTTTTATTTGTTGGAGTTGAAGGTAGACAGTTTCCATTTCTGATGTATATAATTAGTCTGTTAGTGAGGCAATTTCATATCCAAAGGCTAAAATTCACACAACTGGCCTTACCAAGACACACCACAACAGGTTAACTCTTTGCTGTCAGTGTTTGGCCAAACCATCAGAAGACTGCAGCATCACCCCAGTAGAACTGAATGGCTTTCCTTTCTTTCCTCTAAATGTACCTGCACTAAAACCAGATTTGCTCAGAGAAAACTCATGCGTAGTCTATTCTATCTTTTCTATTTTTGAGGAGATGGAGGAGAAGAAAACCACAAAAAAGAGGAAGCCACAGTTGAAATGTGGCCCAGAAAGGGTCAGGACATGCGTCACAATCCCCAAAGTGCATTCTGGGAGCTGATGCTAGGGGTCACTGCCTGGAGTGTCCAACCATGAACGGGCAAAAGGACAGGTTGGGAATTTGAGCCATCAAATACATCCAAAGGTTATCATGGCAGGTAGCAAATGCCTGTTTCCTGACTCTCAGAAAACATACATACATCTACGGTAAAATGTACAGATCAATCACTATACTAATCTATGAATTATATTGCACAGAAAACAAACAAAAAAGGAAACAAAATGCATATAAATACTACTTCTGAATGAAATGTACATTACATACAATAGACGCCTCCTTAGCTTGAAATAAATAAATAAATAACACAAATAGTGGGAAAAAAAGGATCTTTTTTCGCATTTCTTTCAAATGATGTGTGCCATGAGATACATACTGTAACGTGTATTTGAGAGTGTGTGCATGTGTGAGGTAGAACTCAGAAAGACGCACCACAGAAGAGAGGGGCATCTACCATGGAGAGGACTGAAAATCATTGAACTGAGTAAGGGCACTTAAATTAAATATCTTAAATATCAGACAGCTGTGAATAAAGTCTGAAAGAACCTGCCAAAAGGGTAAAGTGACTAATTTAGACTTAGTCTCTGGTGACAGTCCCCAAACACAGAACTCATTCTAGCCAGTGCAGTGGCCTATATTAACTTGTTACAGCGCTAACATTAATCACTGGCTCCTCACTACGCCACATTTCTATTCACTTACATTCACCCTGTTCTTCCTCATCCAACAGACCATCGCCTACAAATCACATCTATGTAAATAAGTTAAAATACAGTCAGTTAACAGTATGCTATAGTAAAAAAAGAAATTCAGTGTCATAGGGTAATAGACCATTTGACTGCTTGTCAAGATGCACACAATCAGAGGTGACATAATACTAAGAAATAAGTTAACTTGGATAAACCAAGGGACGCTTTCTACAAGAAAGATGAGGAACAATATCAAAATAAAATCATCCATTTGCAATTGGATCCAAGATGAAATGTGCTATAGTCTACTGTTAAAGTCTAAATTGGTGTAAATTCATTCAAATGTCCCAAAAATAATACAAAAATGTCAAATGAACAATTCAAAAATATACTCAACGTAATACTGCAGTGCCAACACTAAGTTATTTGACTGTGTAGCAGCAGCTAGAAAACAGCAATGTGTGAAGTACACTCGAATCCCTCTCTTTCATAACATACATCACAGATTCACATCAAAACATACTCTTGATTCTTTGCAGCAAAAATACAGTAATAATGATACAATTTCAAACCACAATCATTTACAGCAGTGTAAGGGGGGAGGGGGAAATAAAAACAAACTGTACATTAAAAGCGCAGTTCTACAAACTAACATGAGAAGTTCCATTGGCCTAAACCCTCTCCCATCACACGCTCTGATGAGGAAAAGGTTTGTGTTTGTGTGTGCATGTGTATTGTATAGTATGTGTGCGTTATCTGCAGCAGGCCAGCGCACCCAGAGAGGTGTGGCTGTCCAAGCTGCTGTCTGTTTCAGAGGTCATGGTGGGGTCACTGCTCGGGTCAGTGGGCTCTGTGGACATGGACGAGACATCGTTGGCCGAAGAGGAGGAGGACGACGTGGGCTGAGGGGGGCTGTCGATCACTGCTGCACCTGTGCTGCGAAAAACACACGTCAACGAATAGGTTTCATTGAAATACACACGATACTGGCATTATCTGATGAGCCACATATGCACGGGTAAACAATGCCTCAAACTCAAAACTAAACCGTAGTTATTTAACCATTTCAGTTACACGTGTGCAGTTAGCTGGTCTGTGTACTGGTTATATGTACATAGACCAGCAGTGTTTCTGCTTGCTCAACAGGCAATACATTTAAAACAATTCTCAAAATCTTTTGACTTTATTCTTAAAATATTTCAATTATAAACTTTAAATATTCCTTTTATTCAGGAAATATTACAACTTTAATCTTGAAATCTGATTATGGCCCTAATACACCAATATACTTCACACTGAATATTGAAATACTGTTGAAACAATAGTCATATGTAACTTAGATGTTTAGGTAAAAACTGCAAATCACCAAACTCTTACAGCCTACATCAATCCTTGGATAAATATCATGTGCCTCTAACAAACAGAAATAGCAGTGATTCACAATAATCCATCCTTTCCAACTCTTCTTATCTCCTAAGTTATAATGATTACTCACCTAAAGGAGATGGCTGGCCTCTTATCACTCCATTTTTTGTCCACTCCTCCCATTCGCTCACTTCCTTGTAAATTAGCACTGCAAATGAAATGAACGGGAGAAGGTTAACTCGGGTAGGAAAGACGGAGAGGAATCCCTGATGCATGTAACACAGTATGTGATACACATTCTGTATACAGTCAGAGCGTATTGCATACTGTACAGTCCAAACAGCATCATGTTTCTAATTTGGACAGGCTGTGCCGGTGTGACCCTTCTAAAAAATGAGCGAGGGGTCGTTATCACCTGGCAGGGGGTTAAGGATGAGCTCATCCTGCTGCACAACTGAAAGTGATATTTACTCACAATCTTAAACCCTTGCATGCTCCACAGAATCAGGTTCCCCCACAGTGGAAAACACTAACCGAGAGGCTTTAAAAGGGGATTTCAAGTCACGCAACGCACCCTCTGGCAACGCTAGTGGAGACACAGACCTCCTTGGGCAACAATGTCTGTGACCAAATGACTGCATGTCTACACATTCACTGGCAGTCCCACTGGATTTATGTAGACATAGTTTATTTCTGCGCTTTCCATGAATAGAAAATAATCATGTCACCACTCATGAACTGCTAATCATAGATCTGACCAACTGGCCATTTCTATTTCATTGCAAACACATCTGATTTGCTCAAAACTGAATGTATTAACTAGTGACTAGCAGTTGCATATTAATATAAAAGGTAGATTAGAACCAAAATTCAGCTATCTACGCTAACTTCTTAACCTATACCTCGTAGTGTTTTGAACTGGTAAAAAGTATTTTATCAGACTTTTCCCTTCTACCACTACTGAATGAAGTAGATCTTAACACTGTGGTTAAATTCTGTGCTGCACTGGGAGCCAGAGGGTAAATAATACACTGAAACTGAATGTGAAAAGTGAAGTGTTCAGTGTAGTGTTAAGAATCTTAATATGCTGTCTAACCTTTCCACTCCTCCACGGTATGCTCCCTCTCATCCAGCTGTTTGTCCAGGACTCTCGGAGGGGGCTGAGAAAGAGAAAATGGCTTAAACGGCGGTGGTTCGAGAGCGACGCCAACTTTCCACTTCAAGTGATGTAATTAAAATCTCATGTAACCCATTTAAGGATCATGCGGTCTGATCGGCGATCCACTTACCGCTTCCACTTCAGCCGGGTCGTACCAAACATTAATGTAGGGGTGCTGCAGGGCCTCATCTACCGAGATGCGCTTGGAGGCATCAATCACTAACATCTTAGATAAGAGATCTCTAGCTTGGCTCGCTGAAGGAGAGAAACAACAAATAGATAAGATGCTGTCCACAAATGGAGTTCTTTATGATTTACGGTCATAATATGATAACGCTCAAAAAATAGATACTACCTTTCAGTTTGTTGTGGTCGGAGTCGGCAGGGAAGAGCACGTCTGGGAAGAGTTTCTCAAAACTGTATCCAGCATAGCGTGGCCTGTTTTCTACGTACGTTCTTACTGACTGGTTCAGCTTCATTAGAAATTCCTGAGTTGGAGTGCCTAGCTGCTCAATTACCTTGTTCCACTGGTCAATGTCTGAAGTGTAAATGTTAAGGGAACAGGCCACACAAACACACACGCACTGTAACACATCATTAGGGCAACGTGACATTTAACTTTCTTTGAGCTACACACACCAACAGCTAAGTAGTCTATACATACACACACACACACACACACACACACACACACACACACACACACACACACACACACACTCTGCAACTGTAGTTATGCTGCCACTTACTCCTTTCCTATGCATCTAATACATAACTACTGTGCATACTCTTTCAGCAACTACTGCCCTTTATTGTCTGATTTTTTACAACAGGAGGGTGCAGGAGAGCAATGGAGGAGGTCATGTTTGTCGGGTGTAAAATTTGACAATGGATAGCAAAGTGACAGAGGGAAACTCTCAGGATGGTGTTGGATCTCTTCACACAGAATGAAGTGATGACACAGTGATCATTCAATGATGGGGAAGGATACGATCAGTGCCGGGGAACAACACGCTTCCCCTGATCATCTCGGCCACTATGCAGCCCACTGACCATACATCCACTGGAGGCGGACGTTTAGGTGACAGGGAGGTGGACATGCAAACAAAATGGTGAGGGGGGGGAGAAGCACAAAAAGTGAGAAGAATGCAAACAGAATGGCAGCAGTGTGAAGACGTGTGGAAATGAAAATGGAGAACATGCAGCATCAGCCAGATATATGATTGAGAGCAATGCAGTGTTGAGCAGATAAAAATGAAAACCGACATGTTGATGAAAATGTATACCCCATAACTGCCAGAAAGCTTTAAATAAGGCATGCAACACTCAGTTATATTAACAAGTACCTATAGCCGGGCACAAAATATTGTATTAGAGCCAAGAACTGACCAGGGAAAGATCTGACAGTCTGCACAGCATGAAGCACAAACACTTTACAAAGACTGCTCAGATGAACAGTGTGAAGACGCATTTAAAAAGACCCAAGGATACAGTCCCTTCCCGGGAAGAGGATTTTATGGCGAACCATTTCCGCCAGTATGCAGCCCACAGACCAGATGTCCACTAGTGAAGTGGAACACGGTAAACAAAGCCAATAAGAGGTGAGAGGAATGCACAACAGGTTAGTTACACGCTGGAGGCTAGTTAGTGAGCATTTTCTTACATAAAAAAATCCCCATTATGTACAGAAGCACCATGCAGCTTAGAGTGTTAACAGCAAGATTTATCTTCAGCTCCCTGTATATGGGTTAAAACAGATCTGTCTACAGTGTAACTGCAATTCATTTTACATTGGAAACCAACAAGGGTTGACACTGTAGATTGACTGATACAGTACATGGATAATCACTAACCATTGGCTTGGTAGCCCATGCCCAGGATAACCTCTGGTGCTCTGTAGTAGCGTGTCACCACATACGGTGTCATCAGGAGGCCTGTGGCAGCCGTCCGAGCCAAGCCGAAGTCCAAAATCTTCAGTGTACAATCTGACTTCACTACTATGTTGCTGGGCTTCAGGTCCTGTAGAGGAACGCAGTCAAAAATGTAACTTTTTAGACACATTGTGAATATGTATGTAAATGCAGCTATAAATACATTTCTCTTAAGAGCAGTGGCATGAAGAAACACGATTCTGAGACAAGATGGACAGATTACATTACACCAGCTGTACAGTTCAAACAAGGATTATTCATAGCTTTTGCTGGTCTTTATGATCATGCAATTGTCTGTAAAAGTCACATGATAACAGACATTATCCATCATGACTAAAATTCAGCTGATGGCCTGCAGGTTCCAGCTCCTGCAGCAGCTGTTTTCTAAAGATTACTTTTGTCTGTGTCATGTTTCTCTGCAGTACAAATTGCTTACTGAGGTGTTTTACTTGCTAGTAGCAAATGCATTTCAAGTTTACAATTTCCAGACGAATCAAGCAGTGGCATTTTACAATATTGATTCAGAGATTGGCTGCTTTTTCATTCTAATGAGGAATTATGTTTTGTTGAAACATTCCTGTAAAAGGCCTTTGCTTAATACATTTTTAAAGAACTAGCCATTATTGAACTATTATCAGCAATCAGATTCTTTATTATGATCATTTGTCGTGACGTGCACATTTCTGATGCTAATGTAAGCTTTCACCTGTCGTGAGTCTTTCTCTTTGTGATTGTAAATCAGACTGCATGCATACATTTTACACCTGCTTACTTTTAATCCATATGGGTAATTATACATTCACCTGCCCTCAATATTGAGGTCAGAAATCTGCATCAGACAAGCAGCTAAAACAGAAATCCTAACCAAAATACTTCCAATATATTTTCAAGAGGGTTTCGCTGAACTATATTCATCAGCCAATAGTGCGTCATTTGACCGTTTGCCCTTACACTTCAGTGTCAAGTATCACAGCAGGTTTAACAGTTCCTCTTCAGGACACTGGCCTGGCGTTAGTCTGTGTAGTCATGGCCAGCTGATGCTTACCCTGTGAATGATGCCGGCAGCATGAAGGTGTTTGATACCACATAACATCTGATAGAGCAGATAGGACAGCCTCTCGTGGTCCAGCTCCATCTGAATGACCTGGCACAGGTTGGCATCCATCAGCTCCATCACCAAGTATCTGACACAAACAGTTTACACAAGTGGTCGAGAAGCATTTAGACAAATGCACAGGGAGGGAGTAATTAAATTTTATGAACGATACACACTGTGTGTCCTAAAAGGAAAAGAAACACACACTTCACATGTAGTTACTTACACATCTTGGAATTCTTCTAATGATTTTTGTGGCGTAAATACATTTAATAGGCCAATGATCTGTGGGTGTAAAATTACATGAATCAGAATCAGAATGATGTCATTTACATGTCAAAATAAGGAAATCTAAAATATGTCATGTGACTAAATATATTTGCATACTCACATTTTTGTGATTGACACATTTCATTAGGACTAGTTCTCTGTACGCCCTCTTGGCATGGGTTTGATTTTGAAATGGCCGACTCAGCTTCTTGATGGCAACATTTCGTTCAAGGATTTGGTCGTAAGCAGAGCTGAAGGGAAAAGTTAGCAAATAATAAAAAAGAATATGGTCACAAATGCAGCGTAATAGATATCAAACATTATAGATGTGACACTTGAATAATCTAAACATCTCTGACATGCGACATTGCATGCAACGCCTCTCCTGAATGATCTGATGACGTATTGGAAAACAGTGACCCACATTTCACCAGTACGGATGAGGTAGAAACACTCACCAGACGATTCCCTGCGCTCCTGAGCCGATGGGTCTTAGATTCTGGTACCGTTTCAGTACTGTGAACGTAGAATCCCCAACGTCTAGGCTGTAGAACTCTCTTTCTCTCTTGTTTTTATTCATGGTGAAATCTTCTATTACTGCTCTCTGTGCATCCACAAATGTCCTCTGTGTACACAAAAAATGGACACATGTTTAAATATTTTGTAGTGCCAGCCTTCTACAGATACCACAATAGCTGCTGAACAGACCAGCCAAAAATTAGAAATTCAAATCCCCGCTCCCAGGAAAAGCAGATTATGAGTAAAGGAGAAAAGACAGTGCTGAATTTCACACTTGAAGTGAGCACTGCGGTGCCTTATCTCAGCAACTCAGCAAACACACCAGGATGGAAGATTTTATATCATCAGCAGTGGTGGCAGAACAGCAGGCCACAGGGAGGTCTACTCCATCATATGAAACATGACTCTCAGAGTGACTCTGTCACACTGGAAAACCTAGCCCGGTGATAATTCCTGTGAGTTTGGACCCCAGCCCAGGACTCCAGTCCAGTCCTACAAGCAGGTCTTCCACAGGCACATGTTAACTGGGTCAAGTTGCACCATGAGGCTGTGAGCCCAGATAAGACACAACACAGAGACGCCAAGTTTGGAGGGGAAATGACATTCCTGCACACGTTTAATTTTTGCATTAAAACAAAAAATGCCTAAAATCCCCCCCTGCCCCCAAAAAGGAGAAAACCTCTAACATCTGCTTCCGTTCCATCTCTTCAATTCTTATATAAGCTACGTAATCACCCTCCCCGTTCTTTCACTCTCCCGACACACAGTCCATATGAGGGAAATAATTGCCAGAATAAAATGAGTCAGCTCTCCTTCTGTTCCTCCAACGTCACAAAGACGTACATCCACCTCCCTCACAACATGAAAATAGATGTGCCGCTTCTTTTTATATTTCAAAAAGGAAAACAATTACGCTCTTCAGGGTTATGATGGCTTGTAGTTAGTGTGCAGATCTGTGGTTACCTGTCATTATTTTCTGTATGGCTATCCATGAGAATAATTAAGTTCAGGTCAGTGCAGGGAGGAAATCACATGCTGATAGTTTTAGTTGCTTCCTATTTAGTCTCAAACTAAATGCTCACTGCTGTGAAATAACTAGTAGCGATGCTTACAACTACTTGCTGCATCAACAAATTCCTCAGAAATCAATTACACAGTATTGGATTGCAGTTATGTGTCAGCTGCAGTATGTTCAAGGAATGCAGCAGCCACATCGGTAGTCTAATGCAGCACCTAAGAGGTCTGGACCTCATGGATGGATAGGTTTTGAAGGCAGTTAGAGCTGTGCCTTATGTACACTGCAAAAAGCAAAAATACCACAGGGTCATTCCCAGACTGCACTATCTTCTAATGACATAACCTCTGTTTTCTCTAAAACAGCTGCTTCAATTTAATGATTTAATGAATGGCTTCCAAAGCACATACTTAAAAGGTCAATTCAGATCCTGGCAGTGGTGCATTAATGGTGTATTATACGAACAGAAACACACACGCTTGGAATCGGTGTCAAACCACATATTAACACAGTATTAAATGATATGGTGTAGCTTTCACCTCACACACCATAAACAATCACATTAAAACTGGTAACACACACTAATACAAACAGCCTAATAGGTATCATATTATTCCCAAGGGTTGAATATCATTTAATGTTTAATTTACATGCATCACTCATAAGGAAAAAAAAGACAAATCTCAGCCATACACATATTTATTATAATCTACATGGTGGGTAAAGTACCTCTTGTCACATATTACCCTCATATATGCTCAATCAAAAAAAAAATCCCCCCCAGTCTACACATGCAAACAGTCAGCAGTGCGGAGAAAGACACACAGGGAAACAGAAGAGGACCATTGCTACGTATTAACAGCACAGACCACTATCGACCCGTTATTTATTTCCATTCGTTGTCAGCGTGTTAACCTTGGCCACACGACCCCCACCCACCCACCCACCCTGGTCTTGCCTTGTCGATGGAAGGTAAATGGCCGCGTAGACTGCTCCATCAGAAAGGAGCCGTGCACGCTGAAAACACAGCCCTGAATAAGGGCCGGACACCGTACAACGGGACATTATATTGCAGCGATAACGACACCCGTATCGTGATATGACAGCAGGGGCCTGGTGGTGAGAAACCCCAGTGCGCACTCGGTGGTGATACTAGCCGCTGCTTCAATCTATAACGCTGCACACATTGTAGCGACATGGAAAATGTGGTTGTGGTTGTGGTTTTTTTTTTTGGTGGGGGGGGATCTTCTGGGGAAAGGAAGTAAAGGCTACAATGAAACACCCCTTAGACAACAAGCACGTCGGTAAAGCAGCATGCACGGTATAGCGACATACGACCCTCCCCCACGGCCAAACAATAAGCACGTCTGAGGAGCAGAGGTGCGGAGAACCTCATCTTACCTCTTGTTGTTTAAATCAAACCGTCGATTCCCCCCCAGCGGTCCGATCAGCGGTGAAATGATCCGGAGCAGCGGACTATTTGTTTATGCCGCCCGGTTGGAGGATGATTTATTCCGTTGTGCGGCTTAAAAATACATGACCTCACCAAATTCACTTGCCTACGTTTCCATCTGGCTGCTACTGACAGGCCGGGGGACGCGCAGTGCGCACGGGGCATGCGTCCCAGCATGCACGTCACTCATCCACAGAGACACACCCACCGCCTCCTCCATCCATCCATCCTTCCTTCCGCCTCCCTATCTATCTATCTATCTATCTATCTATCTATCTATCTATCTATCTATCTATCTATCTATAAACCAACCGGGGAACACAAACTTGTTTTGGCTCACTTCCGTTTAAAACACGACAAACTATAAAGATGTTATTTTATGCTCTTTATGCCTGCAGTACATTTATTGTAGATGGCTGATTTAGGTCTCACTGAAAATATAGACCCTACACTGCATGATAATAAGTCCAGATAAATATATTGGCCATATTTCTGTTAAGTGAAACAATAAACAGCATAATAATAATAGTAATATATCATAAAAAGTGAAAGATGAGGCTGCAGTATTGCGGATCACTGAGCACACAGGTCAAAAAGGTATTCACACTTCTTTTTTTTCCGTAACTAAAACAAAAATGCATTGGAAACTGATGCCCATGTTTCCACCACAAACTGTCCTTGCTGCAGAATCCTACACAGAGGTAAATGGAAGGACATAAAGGGCACATAGTGAAGCTCAGGCACACAGCTTCGAGCTAAATAGTCCAGTATACATGGACACATTTGACATTAATATGTGCAAGAATTTTTCAGTTCTTCTTGGCTCTTCTTCTCAGGTCTGTCTGATTTAAATCAGGATAATTTGTTTGTTAGTTTTAGTATATGAATGCCTTTTAGATTGTTTTTCTTTCTCTTTTAATGTTAACAAAATGGCAGTCCTGGAAATGGGAATGTTATAGGTTTTCTTTTTTTTTTAATCAATGTTTTCTTATTAGTGATGTTGGTGGAACATATGGGGGGAAACAGGTCTATTTAAATTAGACTTTGATCATTTATTAAACAGAAAAAATGACATTTCCACCTAAATTCTGTTTGTATTTCAGTATACTTATGTTCTAGTCTGGATTAAAGAAAAACATATTGACTGGGCTTTCCATAACATTTAACATTTCTATGTTCTTCAGTTAGTTAGTGAGGTAGGAAGTTCATGAGTCCAAGGGCAAAATAAAGCCTTTACAGTTTCCAGGATAAGCAGTGATGCTGCAGTGATCATATAAATAAACTGAGGGCTATTACTTGCATAATCAGTGCCATCAGGGTTAATATTTGGCACGATAGCGCGTAGATCTTATCTCCTGTCCATATTAAACTGTGGGGATCTAGTGTGGACTATCCCATGCATAGGCTCTGCAGGAATCTGTAGCATAGTAGTTAGGGTAACATCCAGAGTTCATCCATCATTCTTATACGCTACAACAACGCAGGGAACCACGCAGCCATGCTCCGCGAAGGCATGTGACTGAATAAGGACATTAGGTAAAATTACGTTAACTTAGCGCTGAGTAGTTTAAATTCTCCCTGCACCCACCTGACAGCCCTGGATGGTTGTTATTTATCCTTGTCCCTGCGCAGATACCCCGGGGCCTGCAGAGACAAGCTGCGCGCAATAGACCGGCATGGATAAACGTCCCAGCACCGACTCCCGCAGCAAGCAGACGAGGCTACTACGGTTTCTTACCCCTTGTTCGAAGAGAGCCCGCAGTGTTATGATCATTGTGGGGGAGCAGCCCGACAGCAGCAGGCTACAGTCCGCTCGTTTGGCCGAGGTCGTTCGTCCTTTCCAGGCTCCTCTGTAGCGCACCTACCGCCGGGGGATCCACCGCACCTTTGGGCGTCAGACGGATTTAGTTAAATCGGTGTAGCTGATCTCACGCCAGCCGCTATTGGTGGCTCTGACCTGTCGCTGTCAAACCGCTAGGCTAATCCAATTATGTGTTTAAAGGCGAGAAGCTAAGAATAGCCCAAATTACAGTAAAAAGTTTCAGATCTTCAGCGTGGTGCTGCCGGTGGCGACAGAGCAAATGAATGGGGCACCATGCATGTATAGTTGGTGTCATTGATGAATTACCTGCCAGAGCGGAGCAGCCTTTGCTGAGAGGACGTCAAAGCAGCAATGCGATGATCACAAGGATTATTTTGGATCCGTGGTGGGAGCACTGAAGATAATACACAGGATCAGACCGCTGGCATAGGTTACATATGGTACCAGGTAATGTTTCCACCTCTGAGCTATTCTTTATCATCTTCCCCCTTCCTATAGTGCTGTTTTATTGGGTGAATTGGGGTGGGTGTCTTCATGTTTAGATTTTGATTCAGGCTCTAACCCTGAGCTAAACATCCACAGGACTGTGCTGAGATTTACCTTTAAGAGTCTGGAGGAGATAAAATGCATAGTACAGCCTTCATATTCAGGCCTGTGTCGACAAAAATCATGTTGAGGGGTAATTTGTTGTTTGTTAGAGGCTCCTTATGCTGTAGCTACATAAATTAAGACTCTGGCCACAGTAGCTTAATGCCCATACTATCATACTTTGTTTTTTACATGGTACCTGAATGTGTAAAATGTATTTGTACTGTAGTGAGAAAGAAGGCTGTGAGAGACCTAGATCCTGAAGAAGCAGCATGTTGTCCCAAATTCCCAAGAATTCAGCGCAGCTTCTCCTCCTGTCTGTGTCTTTACATCATGTGGTTGTCTGCTTGATGGATCAGTAGTTGTCTATAACAGGATTATGAGATTTGACTGTTCACTGGCTCATTGAGATCATGACATGTTATGCATTTTAGTCCAAACATAACGAATAAGGGGTGATGAAGATGTTTTTACTCCTAGAGAACCACAGAGGAAAGATATTGCAGTGGCAACTAGTGTGTAAAATGGACATACATCAAATTATTAGATACTAAAGTTAGACAGCAAACGACATTCCTGTAATTGCATGAGAGATCTTTAAAAATGATTTTCGTTACGCTGCCTAATTTATTCCTAATTATGAAGTTTTAAAGGTTGGTGATTTAGGGGATGCAGATGCTGTAATAGGATTTGGTCCAGCTAATGAACAGATCCAAATGTGCCCGAAATCCACATGACAGTCTGGTGTTGATATAACTAGCAACCAAAATCCAGTGCTCTATGTTGTTCTCTGCAGCAGTGTAGGCCTTCACAACATTGCCCCAGTAGGCTTTACACCTGGACACAGACTACTTTGAGGGGAAACAGCTGCTAAAGTTTTTTGTACAGGAGTAGATGGGTGGGAGCACCTGGCAGGGTTCCTACTTTCATTTTCAATCCTTTCATAACGACAAACCAGCGTGCAAGGATACAGTAGGATGATTTATCAATATATTGATTGGATCTCTCATTTGAATGGCCTTGAGCAGTTTAAGGAGTTTTTTTTTGTTTTGTGCCTCACACTTTGTCTTTGTGTGACTTTTCCGGGTATTCAGGCGACAAACTGGGTGTCATAAGCCCAAGATAAGTTCAGTTTAAGTGAAGGATTTAACCAGGCCTAAAGTAATTAGGTTGGTGTTTATCAGTGGAAGCATGTTGCTCGGTTCAGAACGCTATGTGGTTGTCTATGAGTAGCCTATTGTATTACTGGATCGGGAACATTTAGAGGAACAGACAGTCACAAAAAACCAAAACAGATCCAGTGTAATAAAAAGCATGAAGGTTGGGTTTCACAGCCTTTACGTGAATCAGGAAAACAGATTCTGTCTTTATTAATCGCTTGAGAAAATGTAGTTAAACTTACTAACAGCATGTCAGTTTTTACTCAGTGTTATACTCATGTTGTCTAATCTGTCTACGGTTTCACATCAATGTGTTGCAGTGATTTCTACCATTTGAGACTAATGTAAGTGTTCATGCAAGTTTTTACTGTAGATAGACATTTAATGGTGGGATTGGTTCAGTCTTAAGGTATGCATCTACCCCAGTCAACATGTTTTAATATAGATTAAATGTGTCAAAGTAAAGAAAAAAGAAAGAAAGAAAAGTCAGAACTAGATATAGAAAATAGTCAAAATAACTATTATACATGTTATATAATGGATGCATAGTAAAAAATATGAATAATGTTGAAAGTACGAAAGCTAGTCTCTGTTTCTTTAGTATCCTCTCTATAATTTCTCCTCCACACTCTCAACTGTATGTAGTCGTGGTAATACCTACACAGTATGGGACAACAAACTAACATGGGATCATGACACAGTTGCCTTGGTGCCAGCAGCACAGCTCCCTCAGAGCTGCCCTCCGGTCAGAAGAAAGCCTATTACGAAATGGGAGGAGCAGAGAGAGCGAGAGGCAGTGAGACTAATGGACTAAGATAATCTAATCAGAGTCCAGTGCAAATAACTGTGTTTTTCTCAGAACTCTGTCTCATAACCGTCTTCAAAGACAAAATACTGTTGACAGGGCTGTGTCAACAGCAGTTATGAACTTCCTGGGAGATTTAAATATGAAGTAGAAATGCGTAGCGGGGAGGATGAGAGGATAACAAGCTTGACACCAAGCGTAGAACAGCGGCTCAACGCAGAGCTTAAATTGTTTTCATGAGTGCTGAGAGACATACAAATCTTTCATAAAACTCCCGTAGATGTTCAATTTGTGTAAAGCCAGAAATATGAAACCTCTCTTCAGAATATCAGCTTGGACAACTAATAAGTAATGTTTTGGGGATTTTTTTGTGTGTGTGTGTGTGTGTGTGTGTGTGTGTGTGTGTGTGTGTGTGTGTGTGTGTGTGTGTGTGTGTATGTGTGTTTTTGTATGTTTGAATGTGTGTTACATTTTCAGGTACGTGCTTGGAATGTGTGCAGGATGAGCAGCACATTTGTTACATTAGCTGAAGTATTGGAGGCACGAGGGGGACCTCTGCTGGAGGAGGAGGTCTGGTCCCTGCTACTGGGCACTGCAGAGTCTTTAGTGGATGTCTCCTACATGGGTAAAGCTTTTTAGATAACCTCCTCTTCTTGCACACCATTCTTTACTGCTTTGACCATTACATTATTGCATTGTAAAAAACACAAGTTGGATGTATCTTGCTGTATTTCTGTTGGTTCACTCAGTGTGACTTTACCGTAGAACAGTTTCAATAGAATCATAT